TTTCTGTTTGCAATGTGTCTTTAAGTTGATTGTCAATCTCCAGTTTTATCTGTTTATTATTTATTTATGAGTACAAACAATTTACTTTACTTGTTCTACTATTGTTTTTTACTGTTACCATCTTAACATTTGTCCATCTCATTCCAATTTGTCGATTGTCTGCAATGCTATACGTCTATCATGCATCTTTACTACTTGTCTGATAATCGCTTTGTTCCTGATTACCTGTCTTAATTCTGTGCCTGTAAACACAGCTTATTCTACTTGTCTGTCCGTAGGATGCGCCTACACCACTCGTCTAATTGCACGTCTGTCTATTACACGTCTTTACTACTCGTCTGACTACTACCACAACGTATCGTGGACGTATAACAAATTTTAATTTACGATCATAACACACAATTATCAAACACATTATTCTTTCTATCTCGAAAATAAAATAGTTATACAAAATGAGTGAGGATCACGAACGAACGTTATATAAAAAAGAAACGCTTGATCGAATTTTACGAATTCTCTTCTGAAGGAGGGGTCACGAAGAGCGGCGAATACGAATACGATTTGCAAGATTTTACGAAAGAACGAAGGGAGCCGAAATAAATTACAGAGCGGAGAAACGATTAAGCCAGCCGAAGGAGGGGGAGGGGGGAAAAAGAGAGAGACGAAACCAAAGACAGAAGAAGAGAAGTTCCAGAAATCGACGATCAGTCTGACCATCTTCGAAACTCGCCCCGAATAACGAATGAGCGAGAAAAATCATCGACGTCGTCACGTGCGTGTACAAGACTGGGACAAAAGAGAACTTTCTTCTCGAAGAGAAAAAAAAGAGACGCAAGATACTCGTTCGAAAAAGACGTTCCACGCGATGGAATACCGATCCTCGAGGTGTCGAAAAAAACTCGAGCAGCAGCGGGTTCGAAAGAAAAATATAAGAAGGAAGGCCTCTCCGAGGAGAAAAGAGGGGGAAGAAACATCGGCTGGAAAATCGGGGATGGTTGGAAGAGGGGGAGGGGAGGGGAATCGATGTGAGTGTGGGTGTGCGTGGTGGGGAGGCCGGGCCACCAATCGATAGACGCGCGGCGGCGCCCCACCTGTCAACGCTCGCCGAGATAAACACTCTCGGCCATCGAGATCGGTATTTAAAGGTGGCATTGTCCTCGATACACGCTTTTCGTCCGCCCTCCTCCCCCTTCTTCACAGTTTCCAAGTGAATCTCGTCCAAATATCGTCCAAGTTGACGGATGAAGGGAACGGATTGGGGTACGCGGTTTGTATAAATTTAACCGTGTATAAATTTCGTCGGTTCGTTGTTCTCCACGATTGCTTCGCATGTCCGTTTCATATAGGCCACCTCGAAGACGGATATGATGGGGGGGGAGAAGGGATGTTGTTTATGTAGGGGGTAATAGGAGGAGCAGTTGAGGATTATTTTGGGCGATTAGTTTGAGGAGAGTGAGAATGGAGGGTGTCTTCGTTTCGTTGTTATTCGAATTTGTAATTATTTGAGATTATTTATTTGTAAAGTAAGACTTTTTCTCTAGGGAAAGCCTCGTGGATTGTGTTCATCGAGCTTTTTGAAATTTTTGTTGATTTAGGAATTGAATTTTTAATACTTGATTTGTTTAATCGGACTGTAATTGTTGTTTATCAATTGAAACGTGATGGAATAGATTAAATTTGGATGGAAAAATTAAATTATTGAACAATTTTGTTTCTCTATTAGAAAGAGAATGTTAGACAGTTTAAGTTGGACAGTGAAGCAGTTGTATAAGGTATTTAGGCAGCTTGTGATAATCTTACTATACTATAATCTTTCAGTCATTTATTTGTTAACAGAAATAGTATTTTATGTTATCAAAGATTTAATCGAATTTTGAGACAAATCTGTATAATGAAAAATATCGAGAAATTAATTCAAACGAATCATCGTCACAGTTTTGTTACCTGCCTCTACACACAGGTAAAATCTGAAACATATTAGATCATGAATGGTCGATCGGCCGTGAACAACTTTATGCTCGTAGTTCATCAAACTTCTCGCAACTACACTATTAGAAGCTTGTTTCACGAACGAAGCGTCAATGTCTTAGGTATTAAACAATGTTTACACTTCTGCTTGTATCAATTTCACCGAACCTCATTCCCTCGGATCTCTATCCACCTTCGAAACTTGTAACCTTGTGATCCCCCGCTTCGTTATAAATAATTGGTTATCGACTCTTGTACATGCTATTGTAAACAATGCATTCATCAACAAGTATCGGGATAAAGAGAAAAGAAAGGAATATTAAATTATGACGAGGGTGAGGGAGTAATTTAAATGAAATATAATCTGATCTACATCTACGTCATTCGATCGATAAATTGCTTATTCACAAATTATTATTTCTTCGATACTTGATGTTCCCACGACACTTTCGAATCGAATAAAACGTATTCGTATGTTACGCTTATGTTTCTTTGACTGGTAATTAATTGTTGAAATAAAAATAATATGTTATTGACGAAATAAATTCGATCGATCTATCGATGAAATTAATCGTTGATGATTCAAATGTACGATCCGAATGAATATATATATAATAAACATTTTCAATCGACTTCTTTATATGCAAATAATATATACATTTTTATATTAAGGTACAAACTTTTTTTCTCTATCAGCTTCACACTTATGTTTCAAATTTAATTTAAATCGTAGAATTACAAAAATTTAAAAATATATATATACATAGAAAATTCTAATAAAATATTCGAAATAATCTTCTTCTTTTTGAATCTGAATATATATATATATCTAAATAAAAGAAAAAATTGCATCACGAAATGGTTATTCTTTGATCGATTCCATTTGATAGCCTCAGGTTGAATAATAATCTCGTTCTGATACGACGAACTTTGCCAGAGCGATGCGTTTCAAAAGGTAGAAACATTGGTGGTTCGATAAGAGCGCAGAAGAGAGAGAGAGAGAGAGAGAGAGAAAGAGAGTTGGAGTCGCGTTGATATCGGCCGGGTTTAAAGAGACGAGAAAGAGAGAAGTTCTTTCGTTCTGTTCGCCTGGTAACTTCTCACAAAGAACAGAAGAAACGCTTTCCTTGCAATCTTGGTCTTACGATTTCTCTCACATTGTCGCGAAATATTCAAAGTTCTTTCACTTCGAATATAGAGATAAAAAAAAACAGCAACGAGAGTTGTTGTAGACACCTGTTGAAATAATAATAGGGGCATAGTTTGATCTTATATAATTCATTGTTCAATGGAATTCCTTGCATAAGAAAAAAGAAGATTTTTTTTTAATTGGTACAATTGAATTTCATAATATAAATAGAGACAGGTGTAATATAATAGTAAGAGTAGCTATCTGAAACAAAAGAATTTTTAAACATTGAATACGTAAAAACATATGAGTGATGGATTTTAAAATACATATTGCAAAGTAAAAGAAACTGTACAACCTTTTATGATATAATCAGTAAAATTAATTTAACTTAAGTAAACATTTTCTTATTTATAATCTTGCTATTTCAAGTATTCATTTTTCATGAATTCTGACGAAAACCTTTACACAAAAGCAGTAGAATGTCGAATAAATTAAAGTAATCCAATCTGAAAGATTCTAGATTCTATCAGGATTCCAAACTTTCGTTGAGGTTTTTATAAATCTTGGATTATTGTATTTCTTACTATCCCACTTGGTTAATTACGATTGATATATTCCATTTGTTCAATCAATTCCTGTGTATTATTCCACTTTGCTGACTATGACTGATCCATGCTATTAACTTGTCTGATCATGGCTAACACGTTCCACTTGTCTAGTTATAACTAGAGCGAAGTCGTAACTTATAACCAAGCATTCTACTCGTTCATCCATTCTATTTCGACTATTCACCCATTATTTCACTTAAATGTTTTATAACCAACTTGTTCTAATTCTGTGGCTGGCTTATATCACTCGTCTTAACACAACAATGCGATCGCTGAGATTAAAAAAAAAGAAAAAAAAAAAGAAAGGAATACAATTTTCCAAGTACTCAAATTCCTCTTGAATACATTCCCCTCTATAAATAAGAATCATTCACTGATGCAACGGAGGAGAACATCGCGTTCCACGATGATTCTTTAAGAAGATTCACCGGATTTCCGGAACGGCAAGGAGAAATTGCGTAGAGGCGCGAAAGGGGGGAGGCGAGGGGAATAAGAAAAATCTCTGGGACGATATTACGGTAAGGTTACAGTGAGGAATGGCGGGAGAGGAACAAGAAGTTCCGCGATGGAGAGGAGAAATGCTCTTCCGGAGAGGAAAGTCAAATTCACCGTGCGGTGAGTTTACAAGTCGTAAAGAAAATCATTGCGAGTTTCGCCCCGTTACTTATATTTGTTCTACGCCGTGGGCAAAACACGGGGCGATGTTTCCCATTTCGAAAATTTTCGAAAACTCCCTCCTGAAAAGTGGAAATTCTCTCTTCCTGCCTCGGTTCGCGACGATTCTTCATCCGTACGAAGTGGATGAGAAAAAAAAGTAGAAACGCGCGTGAAACTCGCTCAATCTTTTTCAATGTTTGTCGAAAAATCAGTCGCGATAAATCGCTCGATCGCACATCACCGATAATCGGGATCTCGACACTCGTTTCGAGAGATTTGTATTTTATAGGCGACGTGGATTTCAGATTGGTTTCGAGAAATGGATGAACAAAATTTGTGCGCAGAAAATTTAATCAATTGGACAATAGTCGATTTAGTGTAGAATTATTTTCTTACTTTTCTGTGAAAATCACGTTACACGAGTGATAGATTTGTAGATAATTGATAATTTCAAAGAACTTCAAAATTTTGAATATCGAAGGAGATGTTATGAGAATTATTCTATAAATTGTTCCATTTTCTTGAAATGATTATCAAATGATATTATTGTTTTTATAAATACTTTAATGTTTATGTTGAAATTATGTTAACAATGGATAAAGCCAGTGATCAATGTACGTATTTTCTAATTACAGGTGCAATTTTCGAGCAGGGTACCGACGAAGTTCAGTCAGCCTTCAAATTTGCGATGTTCAACCACAACCAGAATACCACAACTCGGAAGTTTGAATTCCAGGCTTTCGTAGACGTAATTAATACCGCGGATGCTTACAAGCTATCTCGCCTTAGTAAGTACGAACTTTGTCTATTGGTCAAATCGACAATGCAACGACAATTCCTTAAAAATTTATTAAAACTCTATTTTGATCATCTTTCGATAACTCAATAAATCGCATGCTTTAAAATATTATGAATTAGAACTGAAACTTGCAATCCAATTTACTCGACTCTTCGAGAAAGAGAGATCGTTGTACGAATTTTATATTTTAAATGTTATTGTGTAGCACAATTATTACAATTTGATAATTATGAAAAGCTGAAGATGATGGTCAAACATCATCATGAAAAATTCAGAATAACATTTTTTTCGTAATAATTGTATTTATGAAAATATTCTCGTTTTAAACTATTATTATCTCTTGTATAAATGCAAGTGGACGTGTAATTTGAGCGCATCATTTTCATTTTCTTCGCATCTTTTCATCAGATTTATCCATTAGTTTATTTTCCACATCTTTTCTTTCAAAAGACTTTCTCATTTATCGAACTTACTGCTTCGCGTAAAAACATACTCAATTCTTTTCAACCCGAAGAATCGCCATGATATATATTTTCCAAAAGGAAAAACAATTCCTTCTTCGAACTTCATAATTCGATTACTGATAGCTGCAGAACGGGAAAATAACATCATAATGTACGATAGTCAGAAGTGGACTTACGATCCTGAAAATCCTCGCGTAACTTTTCTCACCTTTTCAAACGAGAATTATTATCTAACTTCTTTCGAAACTGCCTCTCCCCCAGTCGAAAAAGAGTCTTATCTATAGATCTTCGTAACACGACCCCCGACATTCAGAGAGGAAAAATTTTCAAACTCGAAATTAGAATTTCTAAATTGGGATTTAGAAGCTCAGAAGTAATGAATGAATACAAAAAAAAAAAAATAAAAATAAAATATGGGACTCAAAAATAGCAAATATTCTGTTCCACATAGTAAACGAAATTTTGTGTGTTTTTAAACGAATTTATTTTAAGATTGATTGCCGAAAGTCAATGATATTCATATTTCATCAACGAAAATTTATCGAATTCGTATAAATTTGCCTAGAATTGCCAAGTTTTACAAATTTTTAAGTTTGATAGATTGATAGATAATACCACGTTTCACACTGTTTCTCACAAATTCGACTGAAATACACGAACGAAAATATTTTCGAGTCTGCAATTGAATTTAACGGGTAATTAAACGGTATCAAAGTGGAACTGTTCCTTAAAATTGATCGTATATTCCAAAAAACCATCTTTTCTAAGATCAACAGAAATCAAAGTAATGTAGCTAGATAAAGCTTGCGTACGGTGATCCAAGAAGCAGCTCTTCGAGTGTTTTTCCTCGATGATTTTTATATCCAGAAATGGAGCTTATATAGAATCGATGTCACTTTGTTCGCGATATCTGGTGTATCAGAAACATCGAAATGATCGACAGTGTCGTGGCTCATACGTGCAAGAAACGCGATATCGCACGCGCCATTGAATCTGGCGTGGAATCGTTGCGCGGTGTAACGTTTTCGATATCGTGGCGAAGATACTAATCTCGTTCCTTCATCGGGACACAGCTATTTCTCGTCTTTGGAACTCGTGCACGTACAGGACTCCTTTCCTATCGCCGAGACAAGAAGCTGCATTGTCGTGGATACATTTCGTGAAACAGATTGATATTGTACAAAAGAAAAGGATTTTAACGTGATTTTAATTTTAATCGAACTTTGTCGATTTAATTCGAGGGAAAGAATTCTTAATTTTCTCTCTCCTTTTTCGAAGGAATTTATATTTAATTTAATTACATTGCGGATGAATATTATATTCGATCGATTTTATTTGGTAATTTTTTTCCTGAAATATTTACAGCGTCTTTATTTTTCGTAACTAAAAGATAATATATAAAAGTATATAATTAATTTAAACATAAATAAATTTGATTTCATTTGAAAGAATATAATATTCTTCTATTACGAATAATCGTTAGATATAAATATCGATTAATAATCAAAAGAAATATAATATAAGGATATTTTTGTTCAATTTTATTTTAGACAACAGCAAGACGTTATTTAGAAACAATATCGCATAATATTATATATACTTTATACTACTTTTTGAGCAACACGAGCTTCCATTATCATTACGAGCCACATTATCAGTCACACTTTCATATTCGATCATCGAATTCCACGCATACACACACACACACACGTATATCTCGCTATAAATCTATCCATTAAAAGAAATCGTCGAAACATGATTAATATCGAACAACACAAACTTCCATTTCATTAACCAAACGTATTCACTCACACTTGTTAATTAACAAATTCTGCATCTCTCGCGATAAATCTACCCCGTTATCATCGTTTCGAAATCGTTATCACGGATGGACGAAAATAAATATCATTGTTCAATCAGCGCGACGGTCCGATGAGCGATCTCTCCGCCAAAATTCGAATTATAAATTAATGCAATTTTTTAAATGGAACAAAAATGAAAAAAAAGATGTTGACTTTTACTAATCGTGAGAAATGTCAAGTTCAACTACTACAACTCCGTCATCCTTATCTCTAATGATCTATCAAAAGCAAATACGATAAAATTGCAGACGATAGAGTAAATTATTTTTAAGAACAGACGTTTCCTGTAATTTCGATGATCGATCAACAATCAAAAGTCCAGATTTAAAATTATTATCATATAAAATTCACGACTGTTGCAATAATCGTCTTTCGTGATAAAAGTCGACACTTTCGTCCCGGTGCGTGAAATTGGTATCGCGACACCTGTCTCCGCCGATTCGACACAGACTCATCGTCCACTTTGTCGAGGAGGAAACGAGGAGGCTGACCGGCCATCCGCAGGATCGTTTGAACCGCCCTTTAAACCGGCCACTGTCACTGGCCAATCGAGCCGCCCTCGCATCGCCTTTGAAGCCGAGCCGGCCGCCTCGTTGTAAACCGTGAACGAATGGCCACCTGGCCGGCGAAGATATCGACGTCTTGTCGTCGATGGGATCCTTATGAGGGTTCGTGCCGCGCACAAACGGCCGGCCAACCCCCTCTCATCCCACGATTAAAGGATTTCCTTGATTTGATTCGATCGAAATTTTGATTACGCCGCCGTTGAAATATCGCGTCGATAATTTGTTGGTGAGAAATTGGATGGATTGATTCTAATGTTGTAATTATGGAAAAGTGTTATGGACGAGTGTATTTGAACGAAACGAGAAGAAGAAGAATTTAATTTCGTGGGTGAAATTGTTGTTGAGAAGGTTTCGCTGATTTCAATAGTTTCGAAATATTTTTACGCAATAATTGAGAATCGAGTAGTTCTCTTTTCCGATTTAGATTCGTTTACGATCGATATTAAAAATTTTAAGCGCGCAAGTCGTTGTAACGGAGAATATTAAAACAGAATAGTTATGGGAATCGCGACCGGTCCACTTTTAAAAGTTAAATTGTTCCTGTTTTATATTTACCAATCGTAGAAACTATAATATCACTTGTTCAAACATTATAATGCTTTATTATTATTGCTTTAATATTATACCTGGTAGATCGTACAACTTGAACATCCTAAACGTAACTAATATTGTTTTACGAACACGTGCAATATAAATGTTAAATTTCCAGGATGTCCTACTTCAATCTCAGGCAGATAAATATCTCAAGAGATATTATACGGAAGATGTGAAGAAGTTACACGAGAAAGTAATATCTTCTGTCATTTAATCGATCAGAATAAAATTTCAAAAATCAAAATCTTAAGATCAATCTATACTACTTGCCAAATTATGACCGACTCGTTCCACTTGATGGCTATTCTCAACCTGTCTGATTAAGATTAGTCTATTCTACTTGTTGATCCGAATGATTTACACTGATCATGATTGCTTCTATGACTTCATCTGACTCCTATTAGACTATTTATGTAGACTACGATGTATTACTTGTCTTATGATTGACTTATACCACTTGTCTTGATCACGTTCCATCCAATCCAAGAGAATTCGTTAAGGAAGAAAGAAAAAAATATTTAATTCAACTTGGATGATGATTTCTCAAAGAGAACTTAACCGCCAGTTCCAAAAATTCTCCAAACAAAAAACACAAATAGAATCGAACAGATTCGATCGAGCAATAACTTCGTATTGTTTCTTTCCTACTTTCGATCGTAAAATCTTTTAAACCTTCCAATCTCTGTTCCACTCTGTTCCTACTCGCTATTTCCTTGAAACGCCATAAAACATCGGAGAGCAGCAGAGGCGGCGTACAGAGACCAGAGATTCGGTAATAGAATTCTGGTGGTTTGGCCCCATAGTCCCGAATATTTGGGCCAAGTCCAAGGGTCAGGCACCGTTCGTGCACCGCGTCACGGTACTCAGGAAAGCTGTGCTAATTGTATTAATGCTAGTCGGGATCAAGACCCCTCCCCTCCTCCTCCCTCCGTTGTTATAATCCCATGGTAAGCCATGTTGCTCATCCCTTTCCCTCCTCTCCCTACTCCACATCTATTGTCGAGATGCGATCCGTTTAAACGTTTCCACGACGCTGCGTTTCGACGATGAAACGACTTTCTTGGCGTCGATCAAACCGAAACTTGTACCCTGGCCTTTCGTTCGACAGTGTTGGAACGAAGATTGTTCGCTTTCGAAATTTTTCTAATGTCTTTATCGTAAATAGTTTTCTTTTTTCTCTCCAGTTTCGAATTCTCGAATTCTTAGAAAATGTGGAAAATTGTTTTTAAATAATTATATTCGAATTTAAAGAATATAAAGTTTTTTTTTAAGAGACATTTGTGTAATTTTTAATTTCTTCGTGATTTCGAGTCAAATCTCTGCCAAATTTTCTAAATTTTTTTATTTTGAAACGTGTTGAAACAAGTTGAGTAAGTTTTTTTTTTTTCTTAAAGAAGAAGATATACTTGATAATTTTAGATAATAACATAACGATTATTCGTTTCATTCTAATTCGTTTTAATCGTGTATTTTCAAAGCAAACTAATATTCCGAAAATAGAGC